CTCAGGACAAGGTGCGTTTCTATCAGTCTTCCTACCATTATGACCATGTTGCGAAAACAAGGTCAAACAATTTCTATACAACGCATTTAAGATCATCATATCTTTTATGTGCGAGCTATTGTATGTGCTTAGACACTTATGATCGCTAGACTCAGTTGAATTCATTTTTATTTGTGCATTTAGCTTACATTTCACGAGTAAATCGTCAGTTCCCATCAACCCAAACTATTAAAAGATTGTTACTTCGGAAGGCTGCAAGCTATGTGTACCCTGAATTCGTTTTCCCTTTCTCCATTTCTTATATACTTATTTAGGCCTACTGTTATCCTGGTTTTAAGCCTCTCGGTTGTATGCATTAGTGAAGGCCTATATGGGGGAATGTCATAAGAATAAGTTACCATCTGCTCCTAATAACTTAATGTAGTTAAGAAGACAAAGGCTCCATCTTAGCAGACTTTAAAAAAGATAAGTTTACGGCTACATGAATACCTAGCAATTTTACTTTTGGAACGAGATATCAAGGACGAAACTACGTGATTAAAATGAGCTTTTTCCTTCATATATAGATTATTCTTAACTTCTGTGGTAACTTGTTTGGTAGCTTAAGTAAGTGAACTCATATACGAGAATGATTCTCTTCAATTTTCGACAATATTCAATCAACTTTCTGAGAAAATTTATTCGTTTTTCATTAATTATGATATAACCCCGCTTAGCTATGAAAGGATAATTGATTAAAGTAAGTTGAATATAAAGCATAATATGCTTTGCGATAGGATTAATCACTAAGACAATATACATTTTGGAAGCGTAAAAAAATTTCATTCAAGTGTTGCCATGATTAAAATATTTTCTCAAAAGTTGATTCTCTCAAGTTAAGCTTACTTTTGAAACTGTTATTCGATTGACTTTAATCGCCATTTATGCAAATGTGCAATAGCTGGATGAAGGGGCGAGATATTTTGAGCGTACAGCAGAGATGACAGCAGTGATAAGAGAATAGATCGATCAGGAAAATAACCAAATTTATATACTCATTTCCTTAATTAAAATGATGTTTATGTTATCTATTTTAAAATATGGTTAGTTATTGGTTATATAAAAAAATTTTAATGAGTGAGTTGATTAAAACGCTTTTGTGGCTTAGGCCGCTTATTCTATCGATACGCGGAATACTCGATTCTCCTTTCACGCGCTATGGATTTTTCTGATATATCTAGGGACCCTCGCTATTTTTCTAAAAGAAAAAAGACATTACCAACTCGTTCAGTTGGTGACCTTTTTAAAGATGTGGAACCTGAGAATGTTCCTAGAGATAAAAGAGGGCGGCCATGGTCGACTAACCCGACAGAATACGCTAAAAAGCAGATAGCCTTGATGAGTAAAAGGAAAGCTACTGACAGTGGCTCTTCAACTCAAAGTGACGATCACGAGTATTCTAGTGAGAGCTCTTCCGATGAACAAAATGAATTTGAACTTACTGGGGCAGATCTAGAAGACCTACAAGGTAATAGAGCAATTATTGACATACTGTATTGCTGACCAACATTAAGCAGCATTGTTAATACCAACCTATTTCATATATGCATTTATCTAGAGTATTACCGAAGACATGGCTGCACTCTTGATTAGTTTGTATCTGCGTCAACCCATGCATCCTACTGACCTATTTGGATTTTAGGTTTAGCTTATATATTACCGAATTCGGTTCTCTGTTACTCACCTGTATTATTTAGAAACTTTTTATAACCGATATTGAGTCCCGGATTTTAAGCGTGAATGTGTAAAAAGCTTTTTGTATCTCATTAGGTTGCTTTGTACCTTGGCCCCTTGTGAAACTCAAGTAGACTATTACTTCTATTAAAAGCCCATGCAAATAAATATACAATATCCTATACTAAATTATAATGCATCATCTTAATTTTTGAATGTTTTTAAATTCGACTCATTACAGTTTGCCTGTCTTTATTTCGCTGGATTATTGATCTGAGATTTATAATAGGCTGACTCGATTCTTCGATTTCGGGCTATTGATTTCTAAAGACAAATTATCTTTTTGGAAGACTTTGCTAGCGAACTTTTAAGTTGGTTTATCCAGCATTCACTATTCAATATAGATAGCATTAACCTTTTTGAAATTCAAGTTTTAGGATCCGTTCCACTTTTCCATTCTTCCTCTCAGTCTAGACGGAACTACAAAAGGTTTATGGTTTCGCATATAGTTGAATTAATTAAGCTTAAAAAAGCCATGTTGATT